ACCCTTCTCCCTGTATACTTTGCTAAAGTTATGAAGAAAAAACTTTTGTTTTTCTTTTTGGGCTACTCTGCTTCAGTGGGATATGGCCGGTTTGTTGAAAGAATATATATATATATATATTGATATACAGTGGTCCCTCAATAATCGACCGGCCTGAAAGTCGACCATTTCGGAAATCAACCGTTTTTTTCGACAAAATATTGACTGGGAAATTGACCGAAATTCGTTTATCGACCCGTCTCGACCCATCGTCCCAGACGCGTATGCACGGGGAAAGCGGGCCTCGACCCGCGTCAGCCTTCCTTCCCAGCCAGTGTGCCATTGTTTACCAGTTAGCGGCGGCCCCTCTCACGTGCTCCAGTGAAATATTTCATATTTCATTTATTTTAGTGCTTGCAAGTTATTTAAGTGCTAAATAAGCTACCATGGCTCCAAAGAAAGCTCCTAGTGCCAAACCTTTGGTAAAAAAGGGTGAGAAATACCATTGAATTTAAGAAAAAACATCTTAAACAATAATGATAGTGGCATACGTGTGGGCGAACTGGCGAGGATGTATAAAAAAAAATCATTCAACCATATCTTCCATCAAAAGCCATGAGAAAGGAAATCAAGGACGCTGTTGTTGCAAAGGGGGTAAATTTATGCTGAAAAAAATGAGATCACCAGTACTGGAAGAGGTTGAGAAGTTATTTTTGGGTGTGGTTTAAATGAAAAAACAATTAGCAGGAGACAGTCTTATGACCTCGATTATTTTGAAAAGGCTAGGCAGTTGCATGAAGATTTGGTAAATAAATTGCCTGCAAATAGTGGTGAAGTGAGTGATTTTAAGGCCAGCAAAGGCTGGTTTGAGAGATTTAAGAAGCGTACTGGCATACACAGTGTGGTAAGGAAATGGTGAGGCTGCCAGTTCGGACCACAAGGCGGCTGAAAAATATGTGCAAAGAATTCCGGAGTACATTTGAGGCTGAAGGACTGAAACCTGAACAAGTGTTCAATTGTGACGAAACAGGCCTCTTTTGGAAGAAAAATGCCAAGAGGACCTTCATTACACAAGAGGAAAAGTCAATGCCAGGACACAAGCCTATGAAAGACAGGGTGACGCTAATGTTCTGTGCTAATGCTAGTGGGGATTTTCAAAGTGAAGCCGTTACTAGTGTACCATTCTGAAAATCCCAGAGCATTTAAGAAAAATAATGTTATGAAGAGTAAAATTTTGTGTGTTTTTGGAAATCTAATAATAAGCATGGGTCACGAGGGAATTTGTAGAGTGGTTCAACGAAGTGTTTGGCCCTAGTGTGAAGAATTACCCTCCTGGAGAAGAAATTGGTTTTCAAGTGCCTGCTAGTAATGGACAATGCAAACCCGCTCATCACCAAAACTTGGATGACCTAATTCTGAAGGAGTTTGGGTTCATCTCAGTAAAGTTCTTGCCCCCGAATACCACTCCTCTCCTCCAACCCATGGACCAGCAGGTCATTTCAAAAATTTAAAAAACTGTACACCAAAGCAATGTTTGAAAGGTGCTTCAATGTGACCTCAGACACTCACTTGACCCTACGAGATTTTTGGAAAGAACATTTCAGTATTTTCCATTTTGTAAGCCTTATAGTAAGGGGGGGGGAGAAATTGTGGCCAGATTGTGTCGAAAAGAGGGATTTGGAAGGGTTTGGGGCTGACCCTGATGAGCCTATGTCAGTTTTGAACTCTATTGTGGCACTGGGAGTTCCATGGGGTTGGATGTGAGTTTGGAGGATGTGGGAAGAGTGGTGGAGGACCACAACGAAGAGCTAACCACTGAGGAGCTGCAAGAGCTTCAGCAGGAAGAGCAACAGATCGCCCGCTCAGAATCTTGCTGCAGAGGGGGAGGAAGAGAGATGGAAGAAGGTGCCTTCTTCAGAAATTTAAAGGGGATTTTTACTATGTGGGGGAAGATGGAAAGATTTATGGAGAAACATCACCCAGAGAAGGATGTTGCAAAACCATTCGGCAACTTGTACAGTGACAGAGTCTTGGCCCATTTTAGGGAATTTTTTAAAGAGACGCCAGAAACAGAGCTCTCTGCACAGTTATTTTTTTCGAGACAGGACTCCAGTGACTCTCAAGCTGGTCCTAGTGGCATTAAGAAAAAAGAGAAAAGAAGCAACCCCAGAAAGCAAATGGTACCCGAGGGGTTGCTGGAAGGGGGTTCCCCCTTTCCCAAACTATAAACAATCCACTCTCTCCTCCTCCTCCAGTCTCCCCAATACACTAAGAAGAATCTCCAATAAAGGTAAGTGTTATGCTGTTAATGTTTCATTCATCATTTCCCATTGTATTGTTTATGTACTACATGAATATTTCATGTAAAAAATTTTTTTGTTTTAATACTTCTGGGTGTCAGGAAACGGATTAATTGAATTTACATTATTTTTATGGGAAAATTTATTCGTAATCGACCATTTCGGTAATCGACCCCGGGTTCCAGGAACGGGGTAGCAAAA